AGCCTCCAGAGGAGTAAAAGGCATCCCTGCAACTATCTGAAGGTTAAAAATCTACAAAGGATACCCATAGCAGCTTCTCTGTGTAACATAAAGATACCATAAATCTGGGGCCAACAGGTGGCATGGTGGTTAAGGGAGCTGGACTCCCACACGGCTGGCTGCAGTTCAAGTCCCAGACCTGGTGGCTTGCTTTCTCACTTTCTCTCTCTGTCCCTCTCTAGTCAAATTAAATAGTTAAATACATAAATAAAAGTTAAATAATTATTAGGCAAAAAAAATACCACAAATCTAAGGTATACATAAGTGTACAAAACTGAGTTAAGATTTGTTTTACGGGGCCAGCAGGAGGAGTGGTGGTTAAAGTGCTGGATCCCACATGGCCAACTCCCGTTTGAATCTCAGACCTAGCGGCTTGCTTTCTCACTTTCCCTTTCTCTCTCTGGTCAAATTTTTATAAATAATAACAGAGGCTTACAGGTGGCGTGGTGGTTAAGGACACTGGACTCTCACATGGCTGACTGTGGTTCAAGTACTAAACCTGGTGCCTTACTTTCTCAATTTCCCCCCTCCCTCTCTATCCTTCTCTGGTCAAATTAAAAAATAAATAAATAATGTTAAAAATATTCTTTGAAATAATAGTAACAATAACAATAATTGGGACCAGCAGATAGTGTAATGGTTATATCACTGGACTCCCACATAGTTGACTGCAGTTTTTTTTTGTTTGTTTGCAATTATTTAAGTTTATTGATTCATTCTTTTTTTTTTTTTTTTTTTTTAATTTGGACACAGAGAGAGAGAGAGAGAGAGAGAGAAAGTGAGAAAGCAAAACACCAGGTCTGGGACTTGAATTATGGTTGGCCATGTGGGAGTGTCCAGCGCCTTAACCACCATGCCACCTGCTGGCTCCAGTGACTGCAGTTTTGAGTCCCTGAACAGGTGGTGGCTTAAAACTCATGCCGAGGGGAACCATCAGTTAGCGTAATGGCTATGTCGCTGGACTCCCATGTAGTCGACTGCAATTCGCGTCCCGGACCCAGTGGCTTAGAACTCACGTCGGGCGCGTGTGCATGCGTGCCCAAGATCCTGAGAGGAGAGTGGAAGAGAAGGGATTGCTGCGTGACCATCTCCCCTGGGGGGTGATTTCTTGCTTTCTGTCTCTCTGTCTGTCTCTGTCTGTCTGGCGAGCACACACGCCCTATAGCAAAAATCCCTTAAAAAAAAAAACAACTCACAACGAGCACATATGTGTTCATGCCCAAAATCCCAAGAGGACCATGGAGGAGAGGGGATGGTGTGTGGCCATTCCACCTGGTGGGGAGGGTTGTTCATTGTCTCTCTGTCTCTCCGGAGAGTGCACGTGCCCTATAACAAACAAATAAAAAAAAAAAAAAATAAAACCTCAAGCCGTGAAATACCAGAAGTACTTAATCCAGAGGTACACACATGGGAATATCACCATGACCTTGCTTAAGAATTCACCCTACAGATCTGAGGGAGGATGTGGTCATGGTGAGGAACTGGTCTCTGGGAAGTTCAGTCTGAAGCCTCCCTGGACTTACTCCTTCTGGAATTTTAAAAGTAGTGAGTAAGAAAGTACAGTAATCAAACTGGTGTTTATAAATTCTACAAGACATGTTTGGCCTCTAAAGGTGAGCCCTGATTTGAACCTAATCTGCCTTCACCCTCAGGCTGGACCCCTGGATTACCAGATTTGATCACAGCCTAGAGCAAAATGCACCAATTAAAACTGGTCAGAGAAGCCTGTTTACAGTCAACTAACAATCCAGGAGTTCCAGGAAGAAAAATGGTCACCCCCACCAAGGACATTTAATTCCCAGGCTAAAGCAGAAAAAATCTTTAAAACAATCCCTTCCTTCTGCTAACCCAGTAATTAAGCTTCCCTGGTAGCAGGTTCCTTTTAAAAATTAGACCATTTGGGGGGCCAGCAAGTGGCGTGATGGCTAAGGATGCTGGACTCCCACATGGCCAATCATGGTTCAAGTCCTGGACATGGTGACTTGCTTTCTTATACTTTCCCTCTCTCTTTTCTCTCTCTCTGATCAAAATGGAAAATAATAATAAATAAAGTTTAATAAAATAATTCTTTAAAAAATAAAATTAGACTATTAGGGGCCAGCAGGTAGTAGTGCTTAAGGCACTGGACCCCCATGTGGCCTACTGTGGTTCGAGTCCCGAACCAAGAGGTTTAAAATTCACACCAAGTCAGTGTGCATGTGTGACCAAAGTCCCCAGAGGAAAATGGAGAAGAGACTGTGGCATGGCAGTGATGTGGTGATTTCTCACTTTGTCTCTCTCTGTCTCTCTGGCGAGCATGTGCGCCCTACAGCAAAAATCTCTCTTAAATAAACAACTTGCCCATTTGACAAAATAACCATATTCCCCAAGCCATAAAACAAATATAAACAAACCTTTTAACACAATTAAAAGTCACAGAACCCAGATTTATTAAGCACCTGCTATGTACCCACAGGGAGGTGCTTCCTCTTTCTCTCTCTTTCTCTGTCTCTCTCTGGCAAGCACACATGCCCTATACCAATAATTAAAAACAAAACAGAACAAAAACACACTGCTCTCGGAGAACTCACAGTAGTGTCTGCAGGTGTATAGACAACAGCCATTTTTTCCATTTTACATAAAAAGTTATTTTGGTCTAGAGTTCAAAATCCTTATACTATATTTTTCCTATGAGAACCTTAGTCTTCTATATATTACAAGTGGGGAGATAAAGAGGAGGAATCAGAAGACTACTAGGTGTTGTAATTAAGGCGCTGGACTCCTACATGGCTGACAGCAGCTCGAGTCCCAGACCTGGTGGCTTGGTTTCTCACTTCCCCCATCTGTCTCTTTGTGGCAAGCACGCATATCCTACAGAAAACTTACAATAATTTTTTGGAGAGGTTTTTGCTACAGGGCACATGCGCTTACCAGAAATAGACAGACAGACAGACAGAAAGCGAGAAATCACCCTCCAGGGGGAATAGCCACACCACAATTCCTTCCCCTCCATTCTCTTCTCGGGATCTTGGGCACACAGGCACAGGCGCCTGGCCTGAGTTTAAGCCACCGGGTCCAGGACTCAAACCATGGTCGACTACAAGGGAGTCCAGCAATGTAGCCATTATACCATCTGCTGGTCCCATCATAATAAGTTAAATAAATACTGAAAAAAAAAATAGTGGCATGGTGATTAAGGGTGCTGGACTCCCACATGGCCTACCACAGTTCAAATCCAGGACCTGATAACTTGCTTTCTCACTTTCCCTTTCTCTCGCTCTGTCCCTTTCTGGTCAAATTAAAATAAATAAAAATAAAGTTAAATAAAATAGTTCTTAAAAATAAATAAATAAATAAGAAATCAGTTTCTTGGCGCAGTACTTCTCCACAGCATCAAGTTTTTCCTATATCCAAAACCAGAAGATGCACCGACAATGTTCAAAAACCTAATTGTTTTGTAAAAATAGTGGGAGATTTCCTAAACTTCCCCATTACCCCTATTTCTTGGGATTAGCAGAAGAACCATAAAATGAGGAAAGAATGCCCCATTCTTGGTGGATATCGCATTAAGCCTAGAAGATACTTTCAAGGAAACGGAAATAGCCAAGGAAAAATCATTTTATTGCTCATCTTAGAAGATTCATAAACTGGTGAGGGTGCTTTAGTCAGAGAATTTTCCTAGTACTTTGGAAAACAAGTAGGCTTAGTTCTCCAATCTACTGGGACATTAAACTGCAGCCTTAAACCACCTTCTTAAACCCTCCTCCATGGGGGCTGTGGCCGGGGACTGGGTCCAGCTAAAACACCCTAACAGTGCCTGATGACCCAGGATGCCGGTGCTGGAAGACAAGAGGAAAGAGACCGAAATCCGACCAGCGACGTGAAGGGAGCTCCCCTGCTCGTTCTCCCACAGTGGGGGCATGGGGAGGCAGGGAAGCTCTCTATTAGGAATTAAAAAACACAATAAAAACAATAAAACTCCCTACTGGTGATATGACTACTAAGTGCAAAGACCCTGGTTTCGGGTTACCTAGTGGCAGGACGAAGGGAAATCACGTTTTCTCTCGTTAGTTAACAGACCTAACGACGCCAATGACAAGCCCAAGATGATTTGCGTTACACTATTCATAATGCCTACACACTTTAAGGTATGGCGCACTAAAAAACAATGCCGTTCCCAGGACCAACTACACACTTTGAAAATAGATTCACGACTTCCTTAACTATGTCCCCCATAAACTCTGACTCACCTACTCTGTGGCAAACCCCGTTAGGGGCTGGGATTCACAAGTGCCTTGCATTTGACAATTATTAACACACAGACTACCGGAAAAATCTAGCATTACAATCCATTAAGACAGAGGAGATCTCCGCCTTCCTAAGCACAGCAAGTGCCGCAGGAAGAGAGAGACGCCCTAGGGGAGGCGAGGGCAGGCCAGCGCGGCGCCCAAGGCGGAGCAGAAGTCGCAGAACTCGGGGCAAATCCCCAGGGAGCAGCTCTCCCTCCGGCAGACACGCCTTCGGACCCGGGACGTGGGATCCGGGCTGCGCCCCGCCTGAGCCGGACAGCCCACCGCCGGCCCGCCCGAGCAGCGCCGCGGCCTCGCAAGCCCCCACCAGCCGCTTGCCTGCCTTT